TACTGCCAGTTACACGCCGAACACGCACTGGCTACAACTCTAACTGGCTTCTAACCCATACACGTGACGTCTAGCGAATACACGTTAACAAATTTAAACAAAGCTGTGTCTAGACGCGCTACTGTAAAAGAAAAATATCGCTACATAGGTTGGCTTACCACACAGTAGGTGACGCCTGCACCATAGAAACAAACTAGCTTAACAAAAACCCCTGCTTCGTGAAACAGTATGATTAAGGGAGTTACACCAATGTCACCTGTTTCAGGAGGCAAGGGTCCACGGCTGGCGTACAATAACATTTTATTGCCGAATCCCCACTTGACGGTCATTCCTGCTGCGCATTCTGCATCTGGAATAATCTGCAGAAACATACAAGTAATAGTAATACAACTGATATGGAAGTTATTGGAAAAATACTTATCAACTAGATAGTACTGTCACTGTGTCAGTGTCACTACTCAGTCTACTGCGTACTTAGCCCGACCAGGCTGTGCGACGGATTGTCTATAGGTATTGTAACCCTAGCAATACCGTTTCTTGGAGCTACTGAGTACTGTACTCAGTACTGATCATAACGGACAGTCGTACCACTACTGCACTAGGCACTACCGGCGCAAGTTATATCGACGGTGTATTTTGAAACTTGCCTAATATATGAACCATTGACCAAGTACGATTTCAATCTATCATTCATATTCACACGCTTTACGTCTATCTTTTTGTTATTTACTTTATTATCAAGCATTGTATTCATTACCATAACATTTCCTTCTTCCCGCTCTGCAGCCATATTTGTCATATAGCCATATAGATGGCGTAGCGGCGTGTGGCGTGCGGCTAGACTGGTACCAAACTGCATGCAGTGCCCCTTCCCACACTCAGGATAATACCAGAAGAATTGAGCCAGAGCGAGATCGCCATCTGTCGTGGAGTTTGGACTGGTACTCGCTCTTTGCTCTAAAAGAATCGCTACAGCACTAAGAATAGAAAGTGGAATAATACCAGGAGTAGATAATACATGGTAGGTAGGTAGGTACATGGTAGGTAGGTAGGTACATGGTAGGTATTATAGAACATGTTATAAAAAGTAAATGTTAATGTTTAAGTAAGTTAATGTTATTGCAATACATTATTAAGTTAGAAAATTACACCTCTGAAAAGAGTATTTTTAGAACAAATTAAAGAAATTGGAACTAATTGGGCAAATTGAAATGAGGCTTTAGAAACATTGAAGGAGTATGACATAAGTCACAACATAATAAAGAATGTGAAAAATATGTGAAGGAGGCTATTTTAAAAACAGTAATTATGAGAGATACTATGAGGTCTGGTGAGAAAACAAAAATGAAAATGATAAATATCGAAAGCTATGTATATATGACAAAACTGTCATTTGATGATGCATGCTTTGTGTTTAGGTGTAAGACGTGCATGATTAACTTAAAAAGTTATTTTAAAAATAACTACAGTAATGATATATGTGATTTGTGTAACAAAAGTAAAAAAAATTAGGAACATTTATACTCGTGTAAGGTATATAGAGGGTATAATAAAGGGGAACGAGTAGAAGATTGGAAAAGTGATGACCCGAAAATACTAAAACCAGCACTAGAATATGTTAGAAAGGCATTATCAATTAAAGAAAGTAAAATAATTAATGCTAACTTGTAGACAGAATTTCCTTATCTACAGGATTTCCCCGCACATTCCAAGAGAATCAGTTCCTTGTGAAATACAAGAGAGGGACCCCAAGATACAAGATTGCTCGCTCCCACCTCGATTACTCGAGTAACGGCCGACACTCCGAAATTAGTTAATTCAAAATTTTGTTTTTGCGTGATGTTATATGCGTTGATATCCTTTCAAATTATTTGTTTGAACGTAAATATACATTGTATATGTTAACATGTAGCACAGCAAATAGTGTACAAAATTAAGAATTTTGGACGAAAATTATATCAGATATAGATGGCGCCAAAAGCTTATAATGAATAGGGTGCCTATATATAAATTATATGTATATTTATATTTATTATAGGGACACTATTATAATGAATATATAATGAACATAGTGAAGACCTTTCACTAGCTTTGCTGCTGAGAACGATATTATACATTGCATATATTCTTCTCAGCTTTGCTGAACAAGTTAAATCTGTAACTTCGGCTGATTGTTATATAACGCAAATGCGTATATTTGGCGAACATGTAACACACATAAACAAAACAAAATGTTTAACAGTAAAACAGATTTTTTTTTTTTTTAAACAATATCATATCTGTAAGAATAGCGTGGTCGCCTGAGAACTGTTCATATCTTATTCTTGTTCTAAAAATAAAATAATTATAATCATAACTTTATTACGTTATGTCTTGGATTAGATTTAAAAGTTGCTCATGCTGACGATCAGTCATCCTTGCCACTAACTTCAGAAGTTCAAAAGGCATCAATGGATCAACGCACTGCAATCCGATCGGATATGACACAGACTCAGCACACGCACACACATAACATCAAAACATACGACAGACTGCACTATCAAACTACTCTTACTACGTATTACAACTATGAATATATCTATACAATATTTATATATAACATCGTGTAAACATTCGTACTATGTACAACTTCTGTGCACGATGCCACCATTGACATTACCAAGTTACACATTTGGTCAGACCTTGCCACTAGATGGCGGTAAATACTAGCCGTGTAATATGTTCCTGCTCCTATACCACTTATCACTATCACTATCAAGTATTTGCCAAAAATAATATGCTAGTGATATAAAATTGCAGTCTGCCAAGGGAGTTTTTGTGGTAGGCCTACACAGCTGACACATGCAAGTTCTTTCGGTGTCAAGATGCAGATGTCATGATTATTTCATGTGATTAGCAGAAACAATTACTTAATTGTAACCACTACAATATTCACTAACTCTCAACAACCACAATCACCCACCATTCATCTATCAGTGAAAATTGCTAGTCTAGCTTCTGCTCTAAAAGGATTTCTTAATGAATTTTTACCAGCAACTATGGCTACTCCACCCCTACCCGCCACACCTCCCACCCACCCAAAGATCTCTCTTTGGTACCCTATAATCACAAGCGGTGCACAACGTTCCTATGAATTCTCCGAGCTGTGGACCACAATTGAATTTATATTTCCAGTCATGACTGATACACATTCAACATCTGATTAACACACTTTACTGTATTTTCTGTGCATTCATCTATCTTCATTAATTTTAACATAATTTTGATTATGTATTGTACATAATTATTATAATAACAAAAACTCTTATAATCTTTTAACACACTCATCAAGTTTTCTTATCATTTATTGTAAAGTTAATGACTCCCAGATCTCAAAATGTGGCAATTGATCACTTACAAGTTTATATAGATAAAAATATATAGAAATTTACTCAGTATTGGGCTATTCTCCACACTGATATAAATATAACAATATACATAGCTTCATATATGTAATGGTATATATATAGGGCATAAAATCAATTTTTTTTGCACCGGCCCAGAAGGCTGGTAACAGCAGTTTTTTTTACCAGCCCTCACAAATTTAAGACTGTTTCACCGACTCTTGCTTGTCTGAAAAATGTTGTAGTGTGCGGCATCACGTAGTAGCTGTTTAACAGACTATACTGCAGATCGTGAATAATGTCCAAAGTGTTTTTGTCAAGGTCATGTTTCACGCTTGCAATCTCGACTTCAAATTTGTAAAATGTTGATGAATTATTGATTGATATCCTCCAGGTAAAACAGTAACGTAGGATATTTGCTCATTAATGCTATAAATAAAATGTAGGAACTCGCTAATACGGCTGAAACCACTGGCTCGGAGGGCCAGTGTTTTGCCAATGTTACTGGCCCTCCAACTAATTTGCCGGCATATGCCGGTGGGCGGTGTCAATTTCGCACCCTGTATATATTTATAATATATATAAGCCTATATACTATAGTAGTATAGCCTATAGCCATATTTAGAATTGCACGGGAAGGTGTGTGTACAACTCTAATTAAAGGAACAGTAGCCTCTAGGTTCTAGGGTTATTTTCAGCTAATTTAGGTTATAATTGCGCTACATAAAAAGTTTCATGGTTCAATCACCATTAGAAATATTTAAAAAAAATGTTTTAAAACTAACGACTACAGTTTGATTACGACGGTGGCGCCACTCAAAGCGCACGATCTGAGAAGTTGCGCAAAACCACTTTCCAGCCAAGGGCTACAGACCGAGGGTATTTCTTATTTATTCATTTAAAAGCAAAAGGATTGTAATATCTTATAAACGACATATAGTTTCAGTTATAATATGGATAAATTTGCCCTAAAATGAATATCGTTCGGTTAAATAGCATTTAGGTATAAATATAATTGCACTTTTGTGATTAGCCCTCGGTCATTTCCCTGCAAAATAAAAATGCAAATACGCAACTTTTTCAGGGTGGCAGCACGGTCGCGGGTGTCATGGCGCCGTTCAAATTTCGTAGCGTTGATGTGTAAATAATTAATTAAGTATCTGGTGACAAATACATGTGGGTATAGACGATTTGTTATACAGTAAGTACAGTTGTATGCAGTAAAATCCTAGAGGCTACTGTCCCTTTAAATTATTTCGCTTGCACAGCTGAGCATTTATAACACACAATTGACATGAGACACACAAAGCTGTCTGGATTTATGCAAATAATGAATAAATTCAACAATAACTCGAAACTGAATAATTGTCATGGACATCGTTAGAGTTACTGAATACGGTACCAGTACCGTATTCAGTCAGTTTTAATTTTGAGTGATTACACAGAACTATTATTCTGCCTAGGGGTAATGCCGAGTGACACGTCACGTGCTATCAGATATTTAATTATAAATGAACAAATGTCTATGAACCTATAAGCTATGTATATTTAATTGTGTTCTTCACGTTCAATAATATGCTCGTGGCGCGATGGTGATTAGACCCTAATCAATCCAATCCAGTCACTCATATTCTCAAAACATTGATACATAATGCATATTCCAATACACTGTCTCCTCTACCCGATGCTTGCATATTTTGCCGGACTGTAGACCCTTCGTGATGACGTAGGTACTAGGCGTTCACGCTAGACTACGTTATCATATCTCATAGTAATGCGCCTATGGCTATTGACGTATTGTATCGATAATGCTATGCCGTGCACCGCCATGGACTAGCGTCGACGAAAAACCGGTCCGATGATGGTGCACACGCCACGGCACGTTCGCTTCCTGTCAGTTATACATCGTTGCGTTGTCACGTCATTGTAACGATACGTTATGATATGTATCCAGTCGTAAGTTCTAAACGAATAAGTAAACGACGAAATTGAAGCAATCCTGCAAATGGAACGGTTGTCTTTTGCTTGCACACTGCCAGTGCCACGGGGAAAGGTGAGTACGTCGCCGCCGCCAAGTGGCACTCTCAACTAATCGGTATCACTTCGCCACAATCTTATTCTGCGCACTTTATTCTAAAACGCTATATAAGTTATTGGTCAGGAAATCAGTACAAATCAAATTGTTTTTACAGTACATATAGCAAGTATTTACCTAGTGCCTTTATTCTTATCATAAATAATATAAACTATCAACAAAGTAGTGCGCGCGTTTGACGATAAATATCAGTGATACGGTTCGCCGCCATTTTTCCGAAGTTCCAACAAGAAAAGGGAATTAGGTAGGTAGTTAGACTTTTCGTTGCCAGATTCCTCCGTATTTAATGATTATATTGGCCGGTTCGCAATGCCATTATAAAATAGTGTTATCCTAGACGACGTTGGTATTATTGAAAGTCGAGAACATTCAAATCTAGTCG